TGTGGCTGTGGAGGCCACTGCTCTAGAAACCAGTTTTGAATGATCTAAGCTGGAAGTCACCATCTGAAGATGGGTCCTTTGAGGTCAGTGTTGGCACTGCTGCCTTGCAGCAAGACGGTTGCAGGTTTGAATCCAGACTGTGGACTTTCTGTGCAGAGTACATTAAAGGAGTTCAAACTACAAACCCACCAGTTATAAGATGATCTCTGAACTCCTGAGTCTAGATTTTCTCTTCATGCGTGTTCTTTCTCCACAAACTAAAAAAAAACAAACATGCATGCTTGGTTAACTGGCAACCCCGAATTGTCTCCAGGTGTTCCCCACCTCTCTCTACTGAGAATTAGGTGCAAATACTCCTGTGATAAGACAATTTAATTTTCATCCACACAAGTTTCTTTTTTATTTTATTTTTTATAAAATTTGAGCAAGAAGTTGTCTTCACCGCGTCTAGATGCTGCCGTGTGATTGGCTGATTAGATATTTGTGTTAAATAGGAAAGTTGAACTGGTGAGACGAACAAAAGCTGGCAGTCTCAGCCCAGCCACCGTTGTCTCTTCTTTTTCTTTTTTAGTTCCTCTTTTCAGAAACATTGAAAAACGACCCAACTAATGTGGTGTAAAAGGTGAAATACAGTCTGTACAGCAAGCAAGTCCCATAATCCTCTCACACATGCTGCACTTCTTTCTGCTCCACTTCAAGGAGCGAGCAGTTTCTGCTGCGCTCTTAGTGACACCAAGCATGAGAGCAAGAGTCAGATTTAGGATGTGAACGGAGGATAATGACAAACAAGAGGTGATTAACCCTTTAGTTGCAGAGCGCAAGAAAGAGACACCAGAGAAATGCAGCAAGTTTCATTTTTCACTTTCTGCACACTCACACACTTCAGTTAATTTGTTTTTGGAGCTTATGTATGATTATATCCACTTTATTCAGGCGTATTTACTTAATTCTGAGAAAAAAACCACAGATGATGGCTGGTCTTGATGGTTGTCAGCCAGTGGGCTAAAGGAGCATGCTTGCCTCTTCCTTTTGTAGAGGGTGTTTGAATGACTGCCACTTAGGGGGCTAAAGAGGGGGCTCTGTTTGCAGTGTCAATATTTATAGTGACACATGCTGGATGAATGCTGACTGACTCTGCTGAAATGCATGACTGCGTGTGTTTAAGATAGAATAACCAGCATGAAATGATCCTGCTCCAGTGAGCAGATTACCGTCAGGTGTCCCTAAGATCAGTAATAAAACATCTGGATGTTATCTGAGCCCATCCCAGGAGAACGGGCTTCAGGCCTCTGACTGGATCTCTGGGCAAGATAAAGTTTAGAAAAGTCAGCCCCTGCTGTGTTGAGTGATTTATTAGTGCACCTTACACAATCTACCAGTCTGATTTGCAATGCAAAGTCAGGGAAATGAGGGGAAGGCGGGCTGTCATCTGCACAGAAGCAGGTCTGTGTATTTAAAGTGTGTTTTTCTCTGGGCTCTATCCTCTTGTCTGAGTAAAGGCTAAACAACCTCTTCACAGTCCTTCAGCTTCACGAGTCAATAGTGTGACTCATTCATCTCCATCCTCGCTGCTGTTTGGCCTGTAAACTACAACTAAACACTAAACTTTTTCCACTACGGGACCTCACCCTGCCCCTCTCAAGTTGTCTGTTGACACAAAAGCTGCCCCCACCCCCCAGCTGCGGTTACATCACATGAATCGTCACTTTGATTCGCAGGTTGACCTGCGTTTTATTTATACTGTAAACAAAGCAGCAGGAATAGGCTCCCAAAGCCATGAGGGTTGGAGGGCTCTTCGTTTGTCTGCCCCGCTCAGACAAACCTAAACTCACACTGCTGGATTGCCCTCTAGTGGTTGTTTGCAACATTCTCTTGTTTTTATTTACATGGAAGGTCACAAAAGTGGTGATCAAACCAAGTTAGGATTTTTTGGGGTCCTTTTCAAAAAATGAATGCTTCCTTATGCTCCCCATGGCATTTTAAAGCAGAACACAAATATTTAGACACTTATTTTCTGATTTATTGCCTCAGATTGGCATACAGGAACATGACTTTACCACTGACTCTGTTGGCTCTGCAACGCTGATGTTTTATCTCTACAAATAACACTAACCTGGAGGAGTTCAGCTGTGGGGTGGAGTTGCTAATGCTAAAGGTTAGCTTCCAATAGTTGAGACTGTTCCAAAAACAGCCTTCCCTGTCCCAAACCAAGATGGGTGAGTCCATGAATGTTTAGTTACAGCGTGACGTAGATCTGCCAGGCTTTTCAAATCCTAGAATCTATTTTGTATCAGAAGCTAATGCAGGAGATAAGTGTAGGAGACTATTTTCCTGTTCAGCCCGCAAGAAAACCTCTGTGGCCGATTCTAATCAGAAATAATCATAAAATTACAGTTTTTCAGTGAAGTTGACCTTTAAACTCAACCAGAGATGACATAATGTGGTGACTAATGTTGAATCGGTTTCCTCCTCTTTAGAATAAGTTAAGTCCAGAAAACAGACATTTAGTTCAAAATATACAATCAGTTATCTTATTTAGACATTTATCCATTTTTAGCAGCTTATCCGGAGTCGGGTCGCGGGGGCAGCAGCCTAAGCTGAGATGCCCAGACTTCCCTCTCCCAGCCACTTGGGTCAGCTCTTCCGGGGGAATCCCAAGGCGTTCCCTGGCCAGGTGAGAGACCTCCAGCGTGTCCTGGGTCTTCCCTTGGGTCTCCTCCCAGTTGGATGTGCCTGGAAAACCTCACCAGTGAGGCGTCCAGGAGGCTGATCTAAGCAGTTATAAGTTCAGTAATCTTTATTTGTATAACACCTTTAACAGGATAAAAGCCACAAAGTGCTTCACAATAAAATAAAAACAGATAAACATAAAACCATACTGCCCTGTCTAAATAAAAGGGTCTTCTTTTGCTGTTTAAAAAAATAAAGACAACTTAAGGACGGAAGCAATGCATTCTATTGTCACATGTCTCCTCTGGTCTTAAAACAAGTTTGAGAAACTACTAGAAGCTTTTGGCCAGAAGATCTCAGGCTGCGAGAAGGTAGCTTCTTAAACAGCTGATATATGTCCTACAGGATTGATAAGCTAATGGCTAGTATGAGGACAGCAAAATCGTACTGCCATCTCGAAACACCATAAAATACTCCTGTTTATTAGTTATAGTTGAATAATTAAATTTTAGGGAGAAACCGGAATCAACACACAAAAAATCAACTGTGGACAGAAAAAGTGTAATTTCTGTTTGTTTTCAAAGAGTCAGATCATGTCATGTGATTTATAGTAAAGCTGTTAGTACCCTGGTGTGTGTGTGTGTGTGTGTGTGTGTGTGTGTGTGTGTGTGTGTGTGTGTGTGTGTGTGTGTGTGTGTGTGTGTGTGTGTGTGTGTGTGTGTGTGTGTGTGTGTGTGTGTGTGTGTGTGTGTGCAGAACACATCTGTAGTGCTGAGTGAAACAGTTGTGGGTCAGTTACCCTGTTCATTCTGAGAGGTATTCAAATACAGGTCCAGGTCAGACTCAGACTCAGGTCATGTTCTAAACTCCCAACAACGTGTTCTCGGGTCGTAGACACAAACGGCTTGGAAGCAGGGGCGCAGTTAGGACTTTCAAACTGGGGGGGACAAAGTTCCAATGTACCCTCCCCCAAACACACACGCACGCACACACACACACACACACACACACACACACACACACACACACACACACACACACACACACACACACACACACACACACACACACGTACACATACACAAACTATTGCAAGCGCCTTAACTAGAGCTCAGTCAGTTTGTGTAATTTCATTCAACGGTTTACGTAAAAACTGTTTGAAGCCGTTATGCAGCGGAACGCTGGCAACAAAGCTCTGCCTGATCAACACTATAAATGATAAATGATCCGCACTTGTACAGCGCCTCTCAGAGTAAGGACTCCAAAGCGCTTTACACTACAGTGTATCATTCATCCATTCACACACACACATTCACACACTGATGGTGATAAGCTATGATGTAGCCACAGCTGCACTGAGGCGCACTGACAGAGGCACCCCACTATTTAATTCAGTCATTTGTTATTCTCCCAATCAATTACTAACCAAAACCTCACGCTTTATGCTAAACATTAAATGATTTTCAGCGTACCGATCTTTACAGAAAACATAAAAGCCCTAAAAAACTGCTCATAAAATATAATAAGAAACAAAATTCACTTATCACTTAGAGCAGTAGTTCCCAGACTTTTCAGCCTGACCAACAGATGTTCCTTCGTATTTTTACGTTATTTAGAAATGTTCATTATATTTGGAAAGTTTTATTTATATATAAATGTCTTTTTATATTTTACTTTTTTATGATTATGTGGCACACTTGACTTCCATACATAACGCATCGGTATCTTCCCCTTTTTCCAAGGCTTTTTTTTTTACGTTGTCGCTACGTCTGTCACGTTAGCGGTGTTTTATCATCATTTCTACATCCATCACGTCCCAGAGAAGGTTAAACCAACATCAAACCCAATGTTTGGAGCTTGTAAACTCCACACACCTCTCGTGCAGCACCAGCTGTCTGATGCTGCAGCAGCGTCAGTCTTCTTTCTGGCCTTAGTTGGGGGGGACGGATCGGGGCAGATCCTCCTCCCCCCCGTCCCCCACCCTATCTGCGCGCCTGCTTGGAAGCCATAAAACCAGAACAATTCTACATTTCAACACCAAATTTGAGTTTAGACTCTGATTTCTCACTAAAACTGACAAAAATGTGGCTCAAGTGGAATCAGTGACGTGAATGTTACATGTGGCCATTTTCAGTAATATTTCACATTATTGCACAGCCCCTCTGGGTGAAGGCAGAGATCACAGCTTGAGTCGTTAAAAAAATCTACATGTAGATTATTGTCGACATGAGTGTTTTACAAAGAGCTGTGTCAGGATCACAAAGCAGCACTAAATAATCTGCACAACGTCAAACTGGAAGTGAAGGTTAATAAACAGCAGAGTGATAAAATAATTGTAACTTTTATGCTTTAATCCACTAATATTTAGAAATACCATATGAATTGTGATATTACACAGGTACAAACACGGTTTTAGTCTTTTTCCTTCTGTAACGATTATATTTTTATTAGGGATGCTTTGAAATTGGAGGCATCTGCCCACTGATTTAATATAGTGCACTGTTGCAAGCGTCATGATAAAAAAGGAAGTATTAAAAAATACTTAAAGGTAAGAAAGCAGTGAGATTAGTATAACAGTACTCTGACACCTTGGCAACACCCACCAGAGCCCGATCCCTTGCTGCTACAGCGCCGAGTGTGTTCCAGGATGGTGACACTGCCGATACACACTGGTTGGTGATCAGAAACGGTTCAGCGACAGGTCGAGCTGCTGTTAAGGCTCATTCGTTCATGAGCTTGATTCGGCTGTTTGTTAGGACCAGCAGAAAAGAAGCCGAGGTGTCGGCGTGAGGAGTGCTGGAGTGTACATCACAGTTAGACAGATTATACAGATTATATGTCTGTTGTTTTTTAATGGCTATAAAACGCATCCAGCTGACTCGTGTTAATAGTTAGTGCTGAGTTAAAAACCACTTCAGTGAAACGGCGGGATGAAAGGGCATCCAACTGGAGTGAAAGAATTAGGAAACAAACAAGAAAACAGATTAAGCATCATCCTATTATTTTAAAATGTTGACATATTTATACATCCCTCTCGTTAAGTTCCTGCTCAGTCCAGCTGACCTTCATATATATTCATTTGTTCTTCAGCTTTGTGCAAACAACTTCTGTGAGCCGTCTACCTCAGTGGAGAAACCTTTCCTTCTAATCCACTTATTCTCACTTCATCTGAAGAAATAATCCGAGTTATGAGGAAGTCTGCTTTCCTGTCTTCCTCTTCTTCTCCAGCAGAGGGAGCCATTTCCACACCTCCGGACCAAAACTGCTCTCCCATGCTCCCGCTCTCTGGGAGAATATACGTGGAGTCTGATAACTACTCCTCTCCTCCCAAAGTACAGAAATATTAAACACCACAGATATCAGGTGGAGCTTTAAGAGATATCCTCCCCATCTCCTCCGCCTCCGCCTCCAGGCTCCTCAGAGTGAGGTTGTGTTTCTGAAGCGGCGTGCACACACCAGAGACGACTCCAGCGGTCCTTGTTCTTGTGCAGGTTGCTCATCATCATCTGGCTGAGCAGGCTGGGTTCAGTGAAGCGCTGCCACTCCTGAAACAGAGGCTGCACGATGTAGGAGATGAAACCTAAAACAACCAGGAAAGTTTTGTTTCAGCATCTCGATCAGTCCTGAGAAATGACTTCTGTCTCGTCTGTACCCCACCTATCTGGACAGCAGGGACTGAGTCGGTCAGTTTGTCACACAGAGGACTAATCTCCAGATTTAACTTCCTCTCCAGATCACCTGCCAGGTTAGCGAGGACAGAACCACAAAACCTAATTAAAAATGAGCATGTTTGGTTAGTTTGAGACCGATAAGGGTCCTGAAGTCTTCTTACCCTGACGGTAGAACTCCTCACACACCCGCTCACTCCACTGCCGGCTCAGCTCCCAGTCCCGACATGGATTACACACGTCGGCACACTTTAGAGCAATCTGGAGGCGAGGAGAGAAACTGAGATCAGATCAAAAAAGAATGTTAACCCAGTGTTCCTGTAAAGGGAAACGCTCTTCACCTGCAACATGAAGTGTCTGTGTGAAGCCAGCTGGAGGTCCAGATCCTGGTTGTCCAGATGTTCTCGGAACGTCACCAGGAACTCGTTCTGCCTGCTGATGTCTGTAGCCAAGATGAGAGAGCCCAGCTGCTGCTCGATGTCCTGCCTGCACAGGTAAAGATGGCAAAATCATAAATCTGACCGCATCTACATCCAAAAGCCATCTGGAACATACTAAAAGTGTCTTTTCCAGTTTATTTTGTAGCAAGATGCTACAAAGAGAGTATCTGACTCTGACCTCACCATTTCTGCTTCGCCTACAAGGCACAGCAAAGGTCATGGGGTGGCCAGTTGGTCTTTAACATTTATAACATAGCAATAATTTCACTGGAGGACATAACCTGAAATGCAGGTTCTCTTATTTTGTTGGACTCTTATTTTGAAAAGTTAAGAGAACCATTAGATTCAGATGACAGAAGTGTGAAAATGTTAAAGTTTTAGAAAGTTAAATAATCTTTTCCTGCTGCTTCATTACAGACAGATAAAACACTTATTAAAAATCTAAATAATTTACTAACTGCAGCAAACCGGGTCCTAAACACTCCCAACAAACCAACTGCAGGACTTACAGCTAAACACAATTTACTGGACATAAGTGTTCTTACGAGATGCTGGCAGGCAGGTGGGACAGCAGGCCTGACTCCCGCAGCATTCCCACAGTGGACCTCCAGTGGTGGCTCTCCAGCACAGATGTGTTCTGCACGAGGATGAGCCACAGTCAGAACTAAAATCCAGCACCAGGTGATAATCCCACACCAACACCTATCAGTACCTGATAGAGGGACGCCAGGTGATGTCTGGTCTTCATTAGAAAAGGCTGGTTGACTCCAGGATGATCCACATCATGAGCTGCTGCTGCCATCAGACCCAGGAACCCGTCCAGAGGAGTCAGCTGCTCCGCCAGCTGCAACCACAACGATGCTACATTCATTACCCGTCTCTTCTCCTACAGGTTCTGTCAGATGTTCTAGCAGCACATTTAAAATATCTTTATCCCTTTAGGTTCATAAAATGCTCACACGTTATCAAAGTTGGTTTTCTTGGACTTGTTTATCAGTGCAGGGGGAACACTTAATGATGAGCAAAGGACAAAAACGCTTTATTGATTGGAGAAACTGCTGACTTGTCACATTCTGATTTTCTGTAACACACAAAGCCTGAGCTCTGTATCGAATATCATTTAGTGCTTTTAACAAAATAGGTTAATCACAAAGTGCTTTACGGAGCAACAAGAGGACACAAAAGCAAATACTGAATACGAGGAAAGATGCAAAGACACCTAATCTGGTCAGGGGGCTTCAGAGAAACCTCTGAGCTTTAAATAGACATGCCACGCAGTTCACGTGAGCGGGAGTCATCCCTCTGGGAGCTCCGCTAATAGATTATGTCAAGGAGAAGCCTTACAAAGTGGATAGGTGTGTGTGTGTGCGTGCGTGCGTGCGTGCGTGTGTGTGTGTGTGTGTGTGTGTGTGTGTGTGTGTGTGTGTGTGTGTGTTTTACCCTGGGCTCCTTCATGTAGCAGTACATGGCTTGAGTCACATCAGCAGCATGAACAGCATTGTGATATGGATTGTTGGAATGATAATCATCCTGCACCATCCCTGGAAAAGCAACACACACCCTGGATAAGTTGGGATAGATATTTACTATTTTTTAGTGATGCACCGATACAAATTTTTTTGACCAATGCGATATCCGATATTAAGATCACTGCTATGGCCGATAACCGATAATTGCCGATACCAATACTGACATTAATGCTTCTAAAATCAGCAGATTTCATATTATTAAAGCTGAATTTACGTTATGTACACACAACACACACATTTACGCTTCTGAGATTATTACAATCACTGTCACATGACTAAATAACCCCCCCCCACACACACACACACACCCTCTGAAACAGATAAACAAATGGAAACAAGATGGAAGAAATATTGGTCGTTAATATTGGCCCAGATTTATTTTTTGGACCGATACGTTAAAAAATGACTAACATCGGCCGATACCGATATTGATGCCGATACATTGTTCATCCCTACTATTTTTATACATCAAGTCAAGCCCATCCGTGGACATGCTGATAGGAAGTATCAGAAATTAGGAGTTTGATGCTGTGCTAAAATGTTTCATTTATAGATGACATGAAAATATTATGAAATGTCAGAAAACAAAGAAAATAAAAATAAATACAAGATGCACTTTAGATGTTGTTGTGTTTTAGCAGGTTACTATTGTGTTTTCAGCACTAATTTAATTAGTTTTTTGGGGGGTCAAAGTTAACATTATCGCATTAATGCATTAATTACTTCATGCAATCATATCACATGTTTAACAAATACTTTGTTATACAAGTCTGTTTGCTTGCTCTAAACTGTTTAAAAACTTGCTAACCCATATTCTGCACACCCACACTAAACAGCAAGCACATCAACGTGGTAAAAAAAAAAGAGGATGGTGAAAATTGGTAAGTAATAAAAAAAAGCACTTCTGTTCAGTCAGAGAAAAAGTAGTTGTGGGAGTGAATGCCAACCAGACCGTGCACGCAGCTGCAGGCACACAAAACACGAACATTATTGTGTGATGGTACATTTTTAATCTGTAATTAATTTGCGATTAATCGCAATTAACCATGAGTTAACTACAAAACTCATGCTATTATCCATGATTAAAACTTTGGGTTGACTGACAGCCCTAGTTTTTATATATTGTTATACTCTAAAGTTGTTTGTTTTATTTAAACGTATATTTACGTAACATCTGCTTAACAAATGCTCTAAAACATTTGTCTACTGACATTTCCTTGTATTTTCCCATTACACTTGGTCAGTTCATTGATTTATTGGATTAACTTTGGTTAAATGTTTGATTTTAATACTGTGCAGTGAACACGATTAATAATCATCAGTGTTTGAAGACCGATTCATCAGCTGATGTTACTAGTGATATTTTAGCATGAAAATAAGGAGGGAAACTTTGGCCATCAGCTTACCATGACCTCTACATAACCGCATCAGCAAAAGAAAAATCTTATTTGTCGATCTCTACTGATAAGCTACCATGCCTCACTCAAAGACGAGACTTTGACAACAAAACAACAATTGGCATCTTATTGCCAGAATGAATGAAATCTCTGAGAGAAACTGAGACCTCCATTTCACTGAATCACTCACAACAACGCTGTGTTTGGGAGCAAATGCTCAGAAATCTCTGAGGGCACCATCTAAATGTATCATACACCTCTCTCCAGTACCATGATAATGGCCTCTTGTTAATGAACGTGCACCTCTGGCCGGCCAGCACAGTTACAACATTTTGTTTTACATTTTTACACGTTTAGAGAAATAATGCTAACTCTGCATCTGTTTCTAGATACTTCCAGACCCTCTGTGATTGACATCTGTAGGTAAGCGAATGTTTAATACTATTGGCTAATGCTGAATGGTGGTCAGTTCAAGTTGCATGGGGCTCTAACTGACATGCTGCCTACATTATATCACAGGATAAGTGTTTCTAAAATATCAAACATATTTTCTGAAAGGGGGAAAACTCAGGTTAGCTTCACTCAAACAGCATTTCATGAGTTGAAATGAGTTATTTCCTCATAATCACACACAACACTACACTGGTTTGTATATTCTCAAATAAGGAATCAAAAAGCTTTTTGCTACAGGATAAATATCCATCAAAACTCTTCAATTTACTTCATCCAGATTAGTCACTGATCCATGGATTAGCTCAGGGTTTATTCCCAGGGACTGATTGTTGGATAAAAGGATGTTGAAGGATTTCCTGTCAAGGTCAATCCTGCCTAGAAGCTTTTTATTGAATAAAATTAAAACTTTTGTAAAAACAGACATGTAGATTTTAATTATTGAGATAAGAACACTGATACGGTAGCTAATTCTACCAATAACCCTGTATGATGCCTTATAACACGATGTAAAGATGTCAGACACAGAAACTACAATGACGGACATGTTGTTCACACTAAAGACACATTTCCATGTGGTGTTTACCAAGAAACCGGTGCAGTTTGACCATGTCCAGCTGGAAGTGGTGAATGAGATCACACACGTTGAAAAGATGGCACATCAGAGTCACCAGACTGTTACCTAAAAACAGGAAAAAGACACAAGCATATGGAATAAGCAGTCGGCTGTGACATACAAATAAACTGGTTTGACATTAAATAATCCCAATGAAAGATAGAATGATCTCACCGTTTGTTAGACGATCAAAAAGGAAAATGTCAAAATTCCATGTTTCTACTTTTGATAACATGTGCTGGAAAAACAGAGACAGCTTTTATGATTATTATGGTTTCATTCATGACACGAAGTTGTGTGTGAGTGTGTGTGTGTGTGTGTGTGTGTGTGTGTGTGTGTGTGTGTGTGTGTGTGTGTGTGTGTGTGTGTGTGTGTGTGTGTGTGTGTGTGTGTGTGTGTGTGTGTGTGTGTGTGTGTGTCCTCACAGCTGCCTGTCCCAGGTAGTCATTGTCCAGTATGTGTAGTGACCCAGGAGAGTGTGAAGCTAACCCCCTCAGTAACCTGGAGGCATGGAAGAATCTCTGGAAGCTCAGCAGGCGGTTTAACTTTCTCCTGGTGCCAGACTCGACCTCCCCCTGCTGGGAACTCGCTGAATTACAAAAGTCAGGAAGAGACATGCAAGACTTGCGTGAGTGGCTGACGAAAAACTGTCCACATGATAAAGTGTGACACAAATACACAAAAATGTCTTTAAACAGGACCTTGTGTGGTAGTATCAAGTTTATCTGGATTTTAGAAATGTTCCCCACAATGTTTGCCCAAAGAAAATAATATCTGCAGTAGATTCATGAAAAACGACAGTGATCGGCTCTTACTGTTCAGGACACGCAGACCAATCAGCGGGTAGGAGCCTCGTCTCTCTGCCAGCAACACACCAGCATGACCAGTGTTCAGCCTGCCATCAGCTATCGGAGGAGCAGGTAAAGTAGAGAAATATTGATGTTTGTTAGAGTCGATAAGGTAATGGGTTCTGCTGCAGCTGCAGGGCTGACAGCAATGTGATCAGACGTCTAAAGCCCGGTTCACACTGAGCAAAGAGGTGGTACACTCCATGGGCCAAGATTTCACCGAGCCAAACTGCACCACGTCCCTCTGTAGCAGGACGCGCCAATGTCACAAGCACACTCACCAAAAAGCATCTGTCACTAAAAGCCGACAGATACCCAGGATGCAGGGGTGGACTGGCAATATAACCCCCCCCCCCCCCCCACCCACCCACCCACCCACCCCACCCCACCCCCCCATGGTCAGCAGGACAGAGAAATTGTCATCCCAGTCTACCTCTGCCAAGATAGCAAAGGCCATCACTTCTTTATTTCCAACCCTGAAAAAGGAGGATTCCACATGGTCTTACACGCAGCCTCCATTGTTGCTCATGTTGCTACAGGGCAGCAGCAGCTCAGGAGGAGTGGGTTGTCCAGTAATCAGAGGGTTGAAGGATCAATCCTGCCTCTCAGCAGATGTAATCTGTCGATACGATATATATTGCAATACAACAAAGATGATATGATATATTACCAGACGATATTTGCAACTTTAAAAACGGATGGTTATTAAATAACTCGTCCAGACACTTCTACATCCACCGTTCCCACAAGATCTTGTTGTTCTGTCAGAATGAAGGTGGGAAAACTGCTGCCACCTCGCGGTTGGAGTTTGAACTGTCTCATACCAAAAATACAGTAAACATTTGCATGTATATTATCGGTAAAAAATGATACACTGCTTTTATTTATCGATTCAGTATCATAACATGAAATAGTGCAATATTTCAGTGTATCGATATTTTCTTAAATCCCAAGTAAATAGATTATGAGTTGTTCTTAAACTAGTGCTGAAGTAGGTGAAAAGGTTCATCCAATAAGTATTACTTCATACATTTGGGAGCAGAGGCAAATTCCTGGCACTCAATGAAGCTTCTCTGTTTGGTTAATGGAGATCTACTGGCAGCTGATTACAGCAAAGACGACTAAATGTGTGACTCTAGAAGCATGTCTGAATCCTAAAAGAGATTAGGTGTTTCCAGATGATTTATTATTCCAGTGTAAATGTGTACAGACTCTGTGATGCACCAGATGGAGCAGAAACGTAAAAAAGCACAACAAGACACTGAAGTCTGAAGTAAAAATGTGTGACTTGTACAGCCCAAGGCCAGTGACAAAGCAAGACTAAACAGAACGGGGTCTGCTGTAGCAGAACCACACACACACACACACACACACACACACACACACACACACACACACACACACACACACAAATAATGAATAATTAAGACCAGCGGATGGGAACTGGAGCGTACTATATCCCTGAGGTTGCCAGTTCACATCACCTCTGTGATTCCTGTTGAAGAGACACTAAAAGCAGCTGCTGATGGGTTTGTTGTCGCTTTGGTAACCTCTTTGAGCCTCCAGCTTCTAAATTAAAAGTCTGCCACAATAGTAAACATGCAGGCAAAGGCACGCTTGGATTGTCTATGATGAGGAAAATGTACCTACTTTTGTGTGTACAGTTCAATAGACAGATCCAAAGGAAAGTGATTCATCAGTTTCAAACGTCCTAGTTTGTGCAATAAAAGGAAGAAAAGAGGGATGAACTCTGCTTTTAATCCAACATGTTGGCAGATGGAGCGACAAGAAAATGCATCTTCTGGAAAACACCCCAGAAACAGATCCCCCTCAGATTAGACAGAACAAACTCCCTCCGGTTCTTTACATCCCCTTCCTCCTTTCCTCTGTCTCCCTCTCTCCCCGTAGCTCACAGTGGTAACTGGGTCATTGTTTTCAAGCAGCTCAGAACTGGGTCATTTAGGCTGAAAACGTGAATCACGCAGCGATCCTCGCACGCCTCCTCGTTAACACTTGCTGTGAATGTGTACACACACTTGCAAATGTGGTTGAATGCCCGTTGCTAAATGCACAAACATGACTGCACACTTGGCACACACACACACACACACACACACACACACACACACACACACACACTGGAAGAGACATGAGAACTGACAGGAGGATGTTGACTCTGAGGGTGTTTGTGGTACGATCTGTGCTTTGGGGCTATTTTCCCTGTAAAACCCAAATGCGTCATTCTGAGCTTTACTGACTAACGCTGCAGATTCAGATGAACAGAACAGGAGCAGAGGATGCTTCCTCCTACCTGCAGCAGCTGCTGCTTTATTTACATGTGCAGACACAAACAGTAGGGGTACCATAAGAATTTGTGTTTACTTTAGATGCAGTAAACATGTTTGGTGTGGAACTGCATGTTAAGATAAAAAAAAATCACATCTGTTTCTGCGTGAGATCAGTTGTAAAGAACATTTTCACTAAAAGTTTTTTTTAATCCTTATTCAGGCTGCAACTGAACTTAGATATTTTAATCACACTTTAGTTTGGGGAAAAAACTTTTTCCAAATAAAAAAAATCTATGAAAAACACTTAAATTTCAAATGTTTCCCACTAGAGGGCAGTATCAACGGCATTAACAAATCCAAAACACATATTTGACCAAAGATTTACGCCCCCTCCTTAGTTTTTCACTATGTAATCGTAATAATAACTTAAATTTAACAGATTTTCAGTCGTTTTTAAATGTGTGAAAATTATAAATGAACAATATAGTAAAGAACAGCCTTTGTTTGGAGAAAAAGTATTTGTTGAGCTAGTTGGAGAGAACTGAGAGCATTGTTGTCTTATACATTTAATTGAAGTTTATAAAAGAGGAAAATCTCTAAAATTTGTTAAAAACTGAAATATTAATTGATGACATTGTTAAGATTTACTTTTAGAGATGAGCTTTAGGTCACGTGCACATGTAGCCGAGTTTTTGTAAAATCAAACATCCTCCCCGCTCATCTATGGAAAAAACACCACCTTGTTCTCAGCAAAGGTTCCAGATCATTGTGAAGCACATTCATATGCAAGCCTGTAGGTGGCAGTAGTTCCTCAACGTAACAGCATCTGAGCTGAAAACATTCCTTGGACATGGATTAGCTAGATGGCGAGAAAAAACCATCCTAAACGTCATCCTTCACCTGTGGCCTTCTGCATAGAGCAGCTATTGAGTTTGTAAAAACACTGTGAGGTCAGAACCTTTTTGTTGCAGGCAGTGATGTTGAAAAACCCCAAACCCCAGTTCTTTATGTCCACGAGCTAATGCTGACAACATATCTCCACTTTAGTACGAGGTTTTGGAACAAATCCTTTTTGGTGGCGTTTATCCTCACTTTCATGTGGATTTCAAACCAAACCGTAGAAAATTCTCTCTTTTTTTTTTGTGGGACACCCGGCTATGTGCGTAAAGGACTAGTAGTTAGCCTATCAGTCTTGAAGAACATCCTTGTGGCCAAATGCTTTGAAAATGACAGAAAGCTCTTCTAAATTATCATATTTTTACAACAAAAGCAGCAACAGGAGCTCCTCTTCTGTTCCAAACTCTGGTTCTGTTCAGGTGTTTTTCATAAAATGTCACAATGACTCACCATTAGAGTTTCCTCATTGACACACATTTCAATCAAACACTGTGCAGACAGCTTTCCATTTGCTTTAAGAAATCCTTCCACCTTAGAGGTTATCAGAGTTCAAGGGGAAAGCCACAGGCTGAGAACAACACACACAAGTCTCCATCGCTCATCTGATGAGTCACAGAAGGGAATTCCCCCCACAGCGAAACACCTATTCAATCTGAAATCTTAAAAATACGCAGATTGTTCCATCAGTGATTGACTGATGATTGAACAATAAAAAGTAAATCCGTCGGCATGTAGATAAAATAATAACAGATCAATAATATTAACTGAGTTATAGCTGTTTTGACTGATGATGTCATGGCGGTGGCATCAGATCAGCTGCGGTGCAGCAGATGGTATTCCAGCTTCATTTACTGTGGCTTTAGCACCAATCCTTCTGAGGCCCCGCCCACATTGCTTATACACACAAACACAAATAAACATATGGCCAGAGGCGCACTTGTCACAGCTAATCTGTCCAAAGAACTCACATTGTGATGTTTTCACAGCAGGATCGAACAGAAACACACATTACGACTCCCACAGGCTTTCCTATTTAATCTTTATTGAGCTCTTTACCTTCCAGATGTGCACAACTGTTCTCCAAGTCCTGCTTGACCTCCTCAACCTCCTCCTGCAGTGCCTCACACCAAGTGCCACCTTGAGTCCTCTTGTGCCCCTGAGCGCCTCCCCTGCGGGCCCTCCAAGCTGCCCTGAGGTGCCGTATAAGAGCCGGGAGCTCCAGAGCCAGTGACAGACCGCCACACGTAACAGGAGGTCCCCACGCCCGCGTGCCAGAGTGCTCGTCTGGGTAGACACCAAGACCGGAGTTCCCCATCTTAAAATCTGGACCCCAGATCCCCTCCAAAACTGGCATCATAGCACAACACAGAAATGTGCGGTGCAAAGATAAAAGAGTGGAGCAGAGTGAAGGCTGAGAGATGGTGGTGAGAACGGGGAAGACGGAGCAGCTCACCATCAGACAAGCATCAAAGATGAAGAGGAGGACAAACTAAAATAGTAGCAAGTCCTCCTATAGGACAGAGCATCAAAAACTCCACAGGGGGAGACGGCATCAGCAGCAGGAAAGAGATACCAGACGATAAAGATGTGTGGAAAAAACTGAAAAAGAAATGAAAGAAGATGTAAATCAGGGGAAAAATCCATCTGCATCACTCTAAGAGCGTTCCTTCCCTCTGCTGCATCGCTCAGTCCTCTCCGTGTTGTTGTTGTGGAGTATGAAAGCCCCTCCTCTCCGCTCCATCTCACACACACACACACACGCACACATGCACACACACACACACGCGCACACACACACACGCACACACACACACATGCACACACTGCCCCAACAACAAACCAATGGGATTTGAGTGAAACACTATATTTGACTGCTTCTGTTTCATATGTAGGACGACCATGAGGTAAACACGGTGATGCCTTTGTCCTGAATAATGTACGGGTAAAATACACGATCAGGTCTGACTGATCACCAGTCACGGCTTCACTCATTTACCAAACTTTTGAATTTATAAAACAGAAGTATCTACAAACAACATGTCAAAATAAAAAAAAAAACTAAAAAGTTTAGTGACCTTTAGATGTTTAATTTAAAATATGGATAAATAAATCTCGTTTTTCAATTGAGCTCCGGCGTAATCAGTCTAATAGGTAAAAAGACAATCTGATTTTTTTTTCATGCCCCGCAGCAAAACAAAACCTGACATTTTCCTAGTCCCACCCACAGGATCCAACAAAGCAACCCTGCTTGAAGGTAAAGATGTAAACACAGCAAGGCCTTCGTTATTTACAGACAGAAACATTTGCATGACTTTGTTCAGGATTAATTTCTCTTGACCAATCAGCCGTTGAGCTCAAACACAATAGTTCTCCTGCAACTCTTGAAAAGAACTAAAAAAGTACTATCTGTTTTTGAAATGTTCACATTTTCTATAGGGAACATTCCCCTTGAGGAACAGTCACATGCAGAGAAAAAGTACACACACACACACACACACACATTGATTATCTTATATCAGCAAAATAACCTAACAGTCGTTAGAACAGGAGTGTTCAGAACAAAGATACAGATAAAACATAGAAACTTGTAGGAAGTGGAATGAGTTTTAACAGAATCATGGCTAACTTGACTGTTTTTGCTCACGTAGGCAGATCGATTATCTGCTGCAATCAAAGATATGTGAAAATGCTTTAAAAAGCTTTTCACAGAAGCGATGGCAGGAGAAAAAGGACACACTGAGCCAATGAGGTCAGTGGAAGTCCTGATGAATAAACTCTGGCAGAGAGCAGACAAGACGGCTGGCTCCAAATCCAGATGATCCCTGCCACTCCAGTCATTCCCCGTCCCTCACACAGATCTGCCTCCTTGTGGGACTTGCCTCTTATCCTGTTCTTAGCTAACACTCTTCTCCGCTGATGTCCTGTTTGTAAGAACGGAGAGGTGGAAGAGGGAGTTAAAACAGAAGAGGCTCTGAGCCAGCTGCAGAGGTCATCACAGAGCCAAGTCAGCCCAACTAAACCAACATGTTGTGTTTTCACTCAGCAGCCCTGCTGTTAATATCATACTGTATCACCCGCGGGGGGGGGGGGGGGGGGGGGGGGGGGGGGGGGGGGGCTTGAGTCACGTTTACAGGACTTGGGACAAAGTTAAGACTTAGACATGGACTCTAACATGCACATATGTGACACGCCACTGTTTGACGTATTCAACATCTCCAGAAAGTGTCCACACATATGCCACATATCGTAAAGTTTGCTTTACAGATTTCTCCTCAGGAAAAAGCAGCACCAGATGTACAAAATGCCGGAGGTCAATGGAAGCCAAGACTAGGACAACTCAATGCCCCCACGCAATCACCAAGCTGACAGGGTAGCGTGTGGCTAAATAATAAAACGAGTTTAAAATTACTTTTGGTATGTTCATTCTGTGTTTATCAAATGTCATTACTTAGTACTTTCTGCACACAGTGTAATAAAGATTTGCTAGGTTTGGCTAACTCTGTAGCCTTTCTCAGACCAACGCTGATGTTGGTGGTGCCAGCAGCATCGGCTGTGCAGAAAAGAACCAAATAATGGAAGCTTAAAATAAATTTGAAAACAAAAATAATCAACATGCCACCTGTACACTTACAAGGGCTTTGGGATGTTGTGGTTATAAAATTTGTCCAGTAATCTGACCTAAAGTAACACGCCAACATTAGCATCGACAACAGCCATTTCACTCACTTTTCTGGTGCAAACGTAAGAAGTGGTGGTTGAAAATGGACATTCATGTTTTGGGACCTGACTTGGACTAATCCTATGTGACTTGGACTTGAGAGATAGTGACTTGACTACAACACTGGCATCACCTAGAACCAGGCATAACTGATACAGGTTGATGGGTACATCTTCTTCCTGACTAACGGAGTTATGATGAATGAAATGAACAAGCCTAGTCTGTATCTAATCGGCTGCTCAGTAAACGAGCTCTGCTACATCCTTACTACAATAAAACAACAGTTTTCACAGTGTGAGACATTTTTCCAAGTAAACACATCCAGTTAGGCTAAAACTTTAATGCATATGAAAAAAGTGAATTATTAATGAAATTAACATTTCTTTTGTTTACTTTTTCGTCTTCTTGTTTCACTTAGTCAATAATGTATAGGTTGTTTTTTCCTTCTGGTGCTTCTGCAGGCACAGACTAAACGGCTTAGGTGGAAATCATCGTTAAGGGAAACTTGTGGGGTTAAAACACCTTAATGAAGCAGATATGAGGGGGTGGAGTCAGCAGACTTTTAGTTGACACGTTTTGTTTTTACAGTCTTTAAAATGACTGCAAAGTCAGGTAAAGAGCAGTGATATTCCTGAGAGTTCGACACAGAAGTTACTCTGCAAAAGGTCAGTGAGAGCCTGAAGCACCCTCTCCCAATGTTTGGAAATCATCATACAACACCAAACAAAAGGGGACCGCATATGGTTCATCTCCCACTCTTCACACTCAGGTGTTGGGGTGGATCCGTGTTCTTACCCAGCATGCGAACCCGTACGGCATTCTGCTCCGACCATTTAAATGTGACAGCTCCACACCTCTGTGGCAAAGAGGAGAGAGAAAAGGACCATCAGTGTTACAAAAGCACACTCTGCTTTCACAGAGCATCATGACCCTTGCTGACAAACAGATTCTGTGCTAAAAGTCACGTGTGAAGCCACAAAGTTTTTTTACACTTGTGTCTCAGAGGTCTGCACGGTGTTTCCCACAAGAACTACAGCTGTGTTTCATTTCATCTTTAGTCCTCTGTTCATGATCACTCAAGGGACACCTATTATCTATTAACATTGTCACCTTGAACATTAATTATAGTGATTTTATACCAAAAATAAAATCTGGATGGTAGTGAGGAAAAGACGAGTCCTTATTGACGCTGGTGTTGGTCGTTCCAGGCATGTCAGCATTTTGGCCAAAGACACAGAAATGTGGGTCAGGCAGCGCAGTGCCAAACTCTGGCAATGATGTCCACATTAATCACATGCTTCCACATGGCTGATCCTCATGGGCAGATGTTCTTTTTTTAGCCACTCTATCAAAGGTGTGTTTGTCTTGGAGTCAAATCACAAGATCTTCATATTTTTTCCCATTTATTTATAATAAAAGACATCTGGTAGCAGCAAAACAGACAAATAACCCTTTTCAGAACAACCTGTTGCATCAAACTAAGTCGATGCCTGGCGACCCCGTGGCCTTAAAAGTGTCACACGGATTTTTACTAATCAAGTCCACAATCAGTGTGAGGTTTGTCCTGATCTCAGATCAGCTCCAGAGCATAATTACGTCTAAAAGTCCTGCAGCTCAGGCCGACTCTGTACATTTCCCAGTTGGAGGCAGCTACATATGATGGCTAATAATAATCATAATGGGTTTGATGTGTGTCCGCTGAATGGTGCACTAGCAGACACGTGTGTTGACATGACTGAAGGCAGACTGATAAACCTGTTCAACCCTCAGCTAATCATCTGCCCCCCCCCCCCCCCCCCCCCCCCCCAAGAGAAAGAGATGTATACCTCAGGTAGGAGGCCTTACATTTGAGTTAGCACGCCGTTTACCAGCAGGCAGGAAACGGGTGGATGGGGACAAACCAGAAGGAATGACTACTCACTCACCGAGCCCACATTAACAGGACACCCGTTGGCTCCGTTTCTTTAATCATCACACTATTGTTCTTCTCATCCTCTTAAACTGTCTACAGTTGAGTGATTCTAGCTGGCTGCAACAAAACCAATAAGACTGGGTCCATAAATCCAACACTAGGAAAACAAACTAGAGAGGCTGTATAGTTTGTGTAAAATGACTCTAATTTGTTTACTTTGTCATCAAAACATTACAAAGATGCTTGAGGGTATGCATATTGCAACTGTCTTTCATGCAAGAAGACCAAAGAGTTAAGGTCCAAATTTCAACACTAAATAAAGCCAGATCTTGTGCAGAATCAACAGCTCTAACTCAATCTGTTGGCAGTCTACACAATATTACGGCTATTTCAGTCCATGCAATGTTTCAATGAATGTTGAGCCAACAATAACTAGTCTGTTAAAGCCAAAATGTTAAGTGAAAAAGTGATTAAAGTGGGTGATGAGCTTGCTCAATGGCAAATTTAGCCAAATATCTTTAGAACTGACTGAGATTTCACCAATTTGGTGTTTTTTCTGAGGCAGCCGTCGTAAAATAAGTTAATAACAAATGTTAAAACTTAGTTTTTGGGGTGAGTATGTGTTAGACATTGTTCAAAGCCAATAACAAACCAACCTTTAGCTTATGAATGTAAACAGATTGTATTTTTTGCTTTTTGTGTTCTTTAAGATCAACTGGCTGTGACGCAATCTTGAATTGGGTCAAGATTGATTAAACTTTTAAAACTTTTATTAAAATAGTCCTGTGGTTTAGCATCTATCATGCTATCACTACAGATACAAGAACCCATACAATGGTAAAAACATAATAAAAAATGTGCAATAAAAATACTTTTAAAGTTTCTCATTTGTTTCAGGACAGTAGATTATAATAACTTGCATATATCTTGCATATGTCTTTCCAACATATGCAATCATCTGTGCACACCCCCTGGCCCTGTATTTCATTCAGCAGCATCCCATCAGAATGTTTTTCTGCAGCGTCCAGGCTGCAGGTGCACTGCTGTAAATCTGTCAATACACGGACGAGACCTGTGGCTATAACACACGGGGCCCAGCTCACCACCACAGTAACAACACACACGTGCACGTTAAGAGGGAATACTGACAGGACTAACAAATAAGTCTTTATGAACTCAGTAGTTAACATCAAATCCTGTTTCAGATTAGAGAATAGTAGCATAACGATTTTGGAACAATGTCGCGCGACATCAAAGGAGATCAAAGCAGACCGACAACCGTAAAGGTAAATAATAAAGTCCCATTTAGCGCGAACGCAGGTGAGAGGAGTGCGTTTTCTGAAGTCGCACGGGGCTTTGTAGCTAAATACAACAAAGCGCGCGCGCGCGCGTGTCAGCTGTAAATTGACATTCTACGTACCTCGACCATTAAACAGGACATTTAACCATCGCAGCTGCTCGCAGATAACAAGAGAACGCGGCAGAATCTGGCGCGTGCGGCGTGTTTTCATGTCATGGGAGAAACGCAAGAGTTTTACCGCATACAGCAGGACTAGAGGTGACTTGTTAGCCTGGCTGACACCTGTTTCAGACTGTTTCCTCTTCCTCTCACGTCCTGTTCGCTACAGACAGTGTGGGATGTTTAAAGAACAAGGTTACGGCTGATGTTTACCCCGCTGCGCCTGTCCGCGTGCTCTGTGCGTGTTTGATGAGCTGAACCGCAGAGAGCGGAGGGGGGGGGGGGGGGGGGGCAGATTGTAGCACCACAGGGGCGGGACTTATGAGAAGTGAGCCAATCAGCGATGAGGAATATAACTGCTCTTATTCTGATTGGCTGGTTGGTGATTTAAGTAAACATCATGGTTTGTATTAAGATTACTACACCGATTAAAGGAGAATGAAGAATTTTCGAATTTATTCTGCAGCAGTATGTATTTAGGAATATTTTTGAACAATATAAAAATTTATCAAAAAGGTCACAATGGATGATGAACTAAAATATATAGCTTTTTTTAGGAATATCCATCTTAAAGCTGTGTTATTAAAGCAATCTCTTCATGAATTTCATATGCGTCGTCGTCGTCTTCCTCCGCTTATCTGGGTCCGGGTCGCGGGGGCAGCATCCCAACTAGAGAGCTCCAGACCTTCCTCTCCCCGGCCTTCTCCACCAGCTCCTCCGGCAGGACCCCAAGGCGTTCCCGGACCAGATTGGAGATGTAACCTCTCCAACGTGTCCTGGGTCGACCCGGGGGCCTCCTGCCGGCAGGACATGCCCGAAACACCTCCCCAGGGAGGCGTCTAGGAGGCATCCTGACCAGATGCCCAAACCACCTCAACTGACTCCTTTCGATCCGGAGCAGCAGCAGGTCTACTCCGAGTCCCTCCCGAATGTCCGAGCTCCTCACCCTATCTCTAAGGCTGAGCCCGGCTTTCTGGCTCAGCTCCCTCTTCAC